AATACCGGTCAGCACTTTGTGCAAAACTCACAATGGCTCGTGATGGTGCGGTGAAACGGCATCTCTATCACTCGGATTGAATGTGCATCTGCTGGGGCGGTCGGGACGATTCCATCCTGAGCCTTCCATCTGCCATAAAAAATATAAAAGTGCCGTCTCTTCAATTTAACTACTGTTCATTGATATTGGATAGAAGACCATTTATGAAAGTAGTTTTTCACATGATCGCTTCCCTAAATGATGCTGAAATTGCAAAAAAGTGTGTCAGATAGGCAATCAACGAGGCGGAACCCTCCACTGTGACGTTTTGCCTTGCAAATACTTCATATTTTTCTGTTCACACTTTACCTATTGTTTAGGCTAGTTGCTATTGGATGCAGCATTTCTGATTAACTATTGTGAATGTACGTAGGTATAAGAAATAAGAATGTGATAAGTAGCAATTGTTGTCAGCTGATAGAATGCAGCTCTTTTTCTGGTGGTCGAGGCCTTTTCCCTCCAGGATAGAAGTGGGTATTCGTGAGCGGCGTTTAAGATTTCAGTATGGCAGACTACACACCGTTTAGAAAAACGTTCTTCTGATATCTATACGAATAGTTCAACTTCTACCGGACCGAATGAATGAACCGACTCGACCATCTGGTTTTCTGGTCACCAGTGAGCACCGTAAATCAGAGCTCCACCTGTTTCGTTGGCCCGCTCTTTCATTCATATTTCAAGATACAGCAAAGTGAAAACTATCTGTCCCACAACTGCGAGCGTCTCCTGTTTTTGCCAGAGAGAAGAAGATAATTATCTTTGACTTTCTTTTCGAGTTCAAAACAGGTCAACCAATGCATCTGGGGAGATTCGCAGACCCCGGAAACTGCCAACTCGTATGAAGGAACTGGTTTCTCCCCGGAGAAAAACGCTTCTTGCGGACTATCTGAGCAAAATTGCAAACGCGACAACAAAAAGACTTTGTTTTGATTAGAGTGCCTGAACAAAAACATCTCTCGATATTTTCTCAGAAAGACCCCTTAATGCTTAACTGAATTGCTGACCACGTAGTAAAAAGGAAGAGGAGTTAGAATCAATAGCAAACCTTAAGTTTGTTTACATGGTCCGACAGTGAATATCATCAGACCACCCGATATGTAACTGTGCTTGCGTTAGGCGAGGGGTCGACTGTCCGGGAAAAGTCCCGCTAGTTCATAGAGTGAAACGAACGCCGACTCCTGTCAAACCTAAATAAAGGGCGCGAAGTCTCTTTGACAGTATACTTGTTATATTTCTGTTCATATGGCATTGTGAACCGACACTGCATAGCGTTTACCTCTGACGTCATGAAAGACACCACGGTAATACAAAATACGCGGCTTCTAAAGTTGGCAATTGATCTCAGATCGACATTCAGGCGACAAAGTTTCATCTTGCTGTATGTATTCTACAACAATGCCTAGATACGAGTATGTAAACAACTAGTGCGCGTGTGACACACGTAAAGGAGGACAAACAGTCTGTTCAGCCTCCTGTCCAATCTCATCCACAGCCCTGCTGACCCATGGCAAAACGGACATGTGCGATGAAGTTCGAGTTTTCTTAACGTTAGACAAATCTACAGGCGAACTCTAGCTACCTCCAGTTAGTAGTGATCCACTTCAGACTCGATGGACGAACTGTTGACCCAGTAATTTTAGCAATTAATAGAAGGTTCGCTTGTCAGAAAGTAGGGACGTGACAGCCATCGATTAGGAAAAGTAACAGGGGTCAGCCGGCCCTGTAAAAATCTTAGCGGTCTGTTTTGCCAAGCCCTCGTCAGTGACGTGAATAAGCATCTAATCCATCGAGCACTTTTATCATCATTTGACAGCGCAGGTTAGAGAGCTCACAAAAGAAATTCATCTGCGTTCACCATACGAGTCAATTGATCATTAGGCCCATGCGTCCAGAAAACGGCCTCCATTAGGCCTAATAAGTCGTTTTAATACTCTGATAGTAAAACACAGATCGTTGCATAGAGACCTAACGGCGGGAGAAGGAACATTTTAAAAACTCTTATTAAAAGTCAGTACGCCTGAAGACAATGAACCGTATATGAGTGCAAATTCTAAAGACATAGTTTGGCATTCGTAATAAATCTACCGGTGTCTTAGAGTGCTCATTCATTGGAATGTGAAAGAGGTTGGCAGGGAATCCATAAATGTGTACGCAAAATGTGGTTAAAGAGCAGAAGCTTGTGGACAGGTGAATTACTTACTTGGATTTTCACTGTCTTCGGGCAAAGGGAGACGACAGAAACTTCTCTAACAGAAAAGATTTATAACTTGCCCCGCGAAATATTGATGCGAGTGCGGAATTCAAAAGACCGCAATACACCGACCTTGTTCTTATTGATTTGGATAAATTAGGTAGTCCATTACTGTATTTTGCAGTCAGTGAATTTTGAAAATGAGCAAGACCTATAGGAAAACAGCCAGAAATAGGCTGCATTTTTTTTCAAAATACGTGAAAGTTCTCGATGGACCGTTTGGTAGAAGAATGCTGGCGGAAGTTGTAACTGTTGTAATGTCATAGCTCGCCGATTTTCTTGCCATTTTTAGATAGACATTTGTGCATTGCGTACTGAAATGAGCTGTTTTCCTCAAAAGAGGTTGTATCCTTAAAAGGCGGACTGCTTATGAGCAATACATGCTACGTGCCATAACATAATAGGATGCTTTGCTTCATCATTAATTGAGTTCTGTTATTCCGCTTAGAATAAATACCATAATTTCGATCACGTCTTCGCTTTATTATCTCGAGGTTTTACATTAGTCAGGATTGCTTGAATAAGGAATTTGTTTTAAGGGAACGCCGTGTTCAAATGCATAATATTAGAATATGATTATTATTATGGCACCTCTTGGGCACTGTCAGTCTTCTTAACGAAAAATTAAGACAAACAAGGCAATAGAATGTTAGAAATTATGCTTTGAGCTAAGTAGTTTTTAATTTGGAAATGCTCCGCACTTCTCAGTGACGCCTGTGCAAGTTAATCAGTGAAGGGCATACTGGTATTTATGAGGTATGTCTGGTTAACTGTTCATTTGTTAGGGCATAACCTATACGATGTTCCTGGCTAGATCGAGGGCTGACTTAAAAAAGCAAGGTGGCCACTTGTTAGTTTGGTAAGAGTTTACTAGAGGTAACCGACATATAACCTCTACTAATTTTCTTACATTACACTGAGCAGGTCATGCTAGGGCCATGGGAGTTCTGATTGAAAAAGCGAACGGCAAAAATCGGAAAGCCGAAGCTTGTGCGTCCGGGTTTTTCTACATCTAATTCTTAGCTGTATTTATGGAGCGCCGCTAGTCGCATAAGTCGACAGATTTTAATCCGGCGACAGCGATTAAAATCGAGTCGTCTATCTTCCCTTTCATTTGTGCTTAAATTTCGTCATATTTAGTGTTTTCATAAGGGAATAAATTTAAAGCGAACAAGATCCTCAAAAACTCGCTTTGTCACGATTTTTTATTCTTGCTATGAGTCATGGTCTTGCAGATTGTTACCCTCCAAAATGGTAAGGGAAATCGCGTGCGCTCCTATTGGGGACTGTGCGAGTAAGCTACCGTTCGTTTTCGTGGATCACGATATAAACCATAGCTCCGTCTTTCATTGCGGCTGGGGGAAGACGTCATCGAAGGCTGAGTCTGTTTATATCGGATTCATATTAAAACCTATTTCGGCGATGTCCCCATAATCATCCTTTCGCCTGAAAGGAGGTGGGAAATTAGTCGAAAACAGAAATATGCTCGTAAGGGATCTCTGAAAGCTAAGTCACTCACTGCTTCGGGGGAGATTTTGTACTGATCTCCCTCTGGAAAAGGACTTTACCTCCCATTGATGAATTCCGCTACCTGTAAGTTTAAGCTGCATTTTGATAAATTAATGCAATCCCAGAGAACCCTTTATGGTATACGAAATGCAAGCGTTCGTAATCTTACTGCCACGATGAAGCTTGGACCCCCTCGGTGGAGCTCAATTCAATTCTTCTCGACCCATGGTCAGAGCTCCGGAACTCTGGGCCGGGCCTGCACAGCCGGGCATAAACGAGTAGTATCTATTCAAAAACAATGATCTAATATTCTGACGAACGCCGTTCTCTCCTTCCTGTAAAAAAGCGTGCCAGCAAGTCTTAATTCGTTGTTGATTGGGGACGATGAACTATCAACATTCCATCCCGAAGAATGCTGTTTGCTATCAAAATGGGACAAAAACGAGCTAAACGATTAAGTGCAAACACGCTATGTTGGATACCTATAACTCACAACGAGGGTTTTAAGAATAGAGGGCGACGTAGCTCTCGTCACATTGTCCACTGTTCGTCCATTGTCCAGACATTGTTTTAGTGACTGAAACATGGGCATCAGCTTCGTCTCTGAATCCAAACTCTCTCTTCTAGGCTAAACTCGCCTTAATAGAGACTTACGTACAACTAATATGCAGGGTTTGATCGAAAGGGATGTTATTATTAGCTCCTTAAGGGATACTTAATGTCAGGTGACCTAGCTGATAGAAGCGATAAAGGGAGGAAAGAAAGAATATCACTATCCGTACTATGCTTATCAATGATGCTGTTCTTCATAAATGTGATTGTTTTTAATGCTATGTTCCGGTAGTATTCAAGTGACTGGCATCACCAGAGACCTTTCGGACCAAATTCTGTATTCATACCGAAACTGTTTTACAGAACCGTCAGTCAGTCAGTCAGTGTATTTGAGGGAAATAGGCTTACGCCTTCGAACTCCCTATTTGTACATAAAAATTCGATAAATTAGCAGAATGTGAAGAAAGTACAGCAGTAAGGGTATGCAGGCATTGATTCACATATGACACTGGTCTCATGGCTATAAAGTCACATAGTCCGCTTGGTGCTGTAGCATATGTCTGTCAAGCCTACATTTAAATGTCGCCACAGATTGAGACATGACAACCGTCTCGGGCATATTATTCCACGGTTGCACGACACGGTTGGAGAAGAAATATTTTCTCACATTCAATCTACCCTGGGGCACACGTAACTTGAACGGATGTCCCCGGAGGTTAGTTGTTGTGGCGAGTTGGAAAAAGTCATCGCGCCGAAGGGCACAATCCAAGCCGCGCACGATACGGAAAGTTTGTATCAAGTCTCCGCGCAACTGCCTATAACTCAGAGGATAGAGATTAAGGTTAGTTAGCGGATCTCGTATGGAAGTGCACTTTGACCTCTTACTAATTTTGTGGCTCGCCTCTGCACCCTTTCGAGCAGATTGTAATCCTGATGCGTCCACGGTCTCCAGGCCTGAATTGCATATTCAAGGTGCGGCCTTACAAACGAGCCGAAGACTTTGGAGAAGCAGTCTTCATCGAAAACTGCAAATGCACGCTTGATGGCATATAACATTGAAGTTGCGGCCTTGGCCGCCTTACAACATTGCGTAGAAGGCTTAAGGCTGTCTGCAACACAGACTCCGAGATCTTTCTGCATTTCTGCTTCTCGAAGTGGTATTCCGTTCAGATGGTATTGCCGCCTACTAGGGGTCTGATTTCCGAGGCGCAGTATGGTACATTTGGTCAAATTGAAGGACAAGAGCCATCTACGGGACCACTCGTCCAATCGACAAAGATTTTCTTGGAAGTTGGTCTCATCGGCAGCATTCTGGATGACTTTCCAGATTTTTATGTCATCCGCAAACATGGCATTATCACAGTCCAACCCATCTACACAATCATTGATGAACAAGAGAAAGAGGGTTGGTCCGAGCACCGAGCCTTGTGGGACTACACTCTCTATGACTGTGCGCCTTGATTGCTGTCTTTCTACGCAGACAGTTTAAGAACGGCCGACGAGGAAGTTCTCGATCCACTTGAGAAGTTTGCCACCAATGCCCATTATTCTCAACTTGTGCAGGAGACGTTGGTGCGGGACACTGTCGAACGCCTTCCGGAAATCAATATAGGCCACGTGCACAGTGTGTTTTGCGTCCAGTGCTCTTGTCCAAATTTGCATTGTATATAGCAAGTTCGTTACACATGATCTTCCCCCACGGAAACCATATTGTGCATTGGACAAGAGATTGTGACTTTCCAGATAAGCCATCAACTCCTTTTTGATGGTTTTCTCCATCACTTTGCAGCAGATTGACGTCAGACTGACGGGTCTGTAGTTCGTTGCAAGAGCACGACTACCGCTTTTGTAAAGGGGTGTAATGTGGGCCGTCTTCCAGTCTGTGGGAAGGATTCCAGCATCGAACGATTCCTGGCACAGAAAGGATAGTGGTTTGGCCAGCTCTCGGGCAAGCTCGAGAAGCAGCTTTGCTGGGATCTCGTCCGGCCCGGGAGATTTACATTCCTTCAAGCTTGTTAGTTCTTCCAAAATCGTTGATTCTCGAAACACCATATCTTCGATAGTGGGATCTCCCATGTTCGCGGAACTAGTTGGAATAAAGTCTGCTTCTCCTGTGAAAACGGATTGGAAATATTGAGAAAAATGCTCAGCTTTATTTTTACTGTCCGATATCTCAAAACCGTCATCATTCCTCATGACAGGAATGGGATGCCTGTTACGTGTGCTCTTCCGCAAATAGCTTTAGAGCAATTTCGGATTTTTAACGGCTCGATGAAGCAAATTACTCCCAAAATCCCGCGGCCTCTTGAAAATCAGGCATTTCACCTTATTTCTTTGAACTTTATATTCCGCAAACGCTGCAATGTTGTTGTTTTCCCGAAATTTCATCCACAATCTTCCTTTCATATTGATATCCTTTTTTAGTTCTCGTGTTAACCACTGAGGGCGGTTGGATGTCCTAGGCTTTGATACGGGACAGTGGCTCTTCATTAGATGCAGTAACCAACCCTTAAATAATTTCCAGTCCTTGTTAACGTTTCCGGAGAAGAGAACATCCCAGTCTATTTGTGATGCCTCAGCTCTCATTTGGCAAAAGTCCCCTTTCCATATATTCGGCCTCGTATCCTCTTTTTTATACGGTTCAGAATACAGCTCGTACTCCCATAAAAGTACTGCATGATCACTTCGACCGAGCGGGGGTAGGTAGTACACCTCGTCTATACTGTCAGGATCTTTGGTGAAGACGAGGTCCAGACAACTAGCCTGTTGCCCTCCACGTGCTCTAGTTGGAGATAGGACACGTTGCGTGAGAAGAGCCTCTAGGGTTATCTTTAGTAGATGGTAATCGAAGGCATTCTTCGAGCACTTCGCATGCATATCGCTGCATTGAATGCAGGGTGCATTAAAATCCCCCATGAGAACAACGTCTGGTCGACTGGCGATCTCCTTTATGCTTTCCAGTAGACAAGTGTCTGAGTCGGGATCCGCCTGAGGGGCCGGTAGATAGTTACGACTTCGAGGGACTGAGACCGCCGTGCCTTTATAGTTAGCCAAATTGCCTCTGTATCGTTAGCAGTTTTGTCCGTCCTCTCACACACTGTTAAGTTACACTTTACATACATGGCAACTCCTCCACCCCGGCGGCCCCTCCTATCTCTCCTAAACAATTGGTATCCTGTTAGTGCTACCTCGCAATCACCCACGTTCTCTGACAGCCACGTTTCTGTTAGTGCTATAACATCTGGAGGAGTATCGGCTACCTGTATTCTCAGTTCATCAAGCTTGGAAAACAGACTCTGAGCATTGGTGTAAAAGAACTTAAGTTCGCAACATTCGACAGTGCTTTGTTCGATCCGTCTCGGACTTGACAATATTATGTTGCTGCCGCCATCATGATGACTGGCTGGTTCCAAAGCAACATCGCATTCCTCTGTATCACTCGTCCCCTGAAAATAGCAAAGTTGCTCTCTCCTGCTGCAAGTCTCCTCTTCAGCTCCGTCACTAATTCGCGGCGTTTCAGACGTTCCGCTGGAGAATAGTTCGGTTGAAAAAAACTCCTATGTGAGTGTTTCGGAGGCAGCTTTTCCTGGACAGAAGTAAGCTAGCCTCCTCTTTACTGCCCAAAACGATTTTCAGAGGTCGTGGCCGCACAGTTTCCGATTGTTCGCTCACCTTCTTTCCGATCCTGAAGGCTGCGTGAATAGTTACCCTTTCATTCGAATTAAGCATTTTGTTCAGAAGGTGTTGAAGCATATTGAGGTCAGCGGAAATCCTCTCCTTCGGGGTAGGAGCATTCGACTCCGATAGGCCCTGAACGACTACGCAGAGCTGACGATCCAGGGGTTCATTTGTTCTGTTTGCGACGGCCTTGTCAGCTGAAGGTCTCAGGAGATCCACCGGAGCCTTCTGGGGTTTTATACTCCTGTTGTGGTGCCTACCCATCCCATCTTGCCACGAGCTTGTTTCCTCACTTCCAACCGAGGGTACTACTGAACACGCGGAATGGGTGACAGAACTTGACGGTTCGCTTCGGTTGTCTTCCGTAGAAACAGCAGACTCGGTTGCTATTTGCCCATCGACATTAGTATCGGCGTCCTTGCACTGAGATTTTCCACAAACCTTGTTCTTTGGCTTTTTTGGAGTTTTGTTCTTCCCCTTTGTCTTGCTGACTCTAGCGCTGGTAACCGCGTTTTGCCTACCATCGTTCGCTTGCACGAGTTCCTTTAAAGCAGCCAGCTCTTTTTCAAGTTTTTGGACTTTCAGAAGAATATAGGAGCACCCAATGCACGACTCGTCCTCGTAACTAACCGATTTTGCTGTGGTAACGCTTTTAGCGCGCTTTGCGGGACCCTGGTTATAACTGTAAAGAGAGCGGACGCTAATCCTGGGAGGCAAGGCCATATCAATAAACTTTCCTTCATGCATAATGCCGGCCCTGGTCGTGGAACTACCAAAAAATTGCTCTGTGTCCATGAGTTTCGTGTGTTCGTAAGCTTATATTCGCTTTCGAGATTCAAACAGGTAATGACGACAGTTTACGATGGAGTATGGCAAATATTCGAAACCAAATGATCGAAAATACGCCTATTTTTAAAAAGTCGATGTAAAGCAAAAATATGAACGGTATGAAATATATGTAGGAGCGACTCAGCCGTTTTGAGAATATCGAAGGCCCTGAATAACTCCCGATCTTCCATGGTGTCAACGATTTTGTTTTCCTAGGCCGATATCTGCGCGCGAATCGACTCCGTAGCCCGTTGGATTTTGATGGGTACATCCGGACCGTGTGTTCTGTGGACAGCCAATCACAGGACGACGTAGCGATCGCATCTTCATCTTCTGAACTGCTACTTGAAACTCGCCTGTTCGCTTCTATCAGCATATAAAACATTGTTACTGAATAATTAGTCCGTTAAAAAAAAAAAACGACGAAAGAGCAGTTTAAAATATCCATTAAATAATAAACAAAACGGATGGATTAACTTTAATAGAGAAATACTTTCGCTTATAAATGGCGAATGTGCAGGCAGGATCGGCCTGCATGTGGCAGTGTATGACGGATTATAAACGGACATCTTCAAGGAAGATAAATGTTTCATTCATGAATGGATAAGTATGCGGGTCAGACAGTGGGTTATTCTTAAATCTTATTGGGCCAGAAAGCTTGGCAGGAAAAAAAGACATGAAACTTCACTTGGACGGTGAAAACTCCATTGGCCATGTTGAACTCCATCTGCTTCAGCGTAGTTAATCGGCATTTATTTTTCAACGCAAACATTTTCGGTGTCCCTAGAATATGAGTAAAAACAATTAAGATGATCGGCATAAATAAAAGTTTGCGAGTTTCTGAGTTCATTTGAAATATCATTGATGTAAAGAAGGAAGACAAGCAGACCCAGAACCGTGCCTTGAAGTACGCCACTCGTGATCGAGTGAGCTGTCGAGTAGCTATTACCGACCATGACTTTCTGATATCGGTTGGATAGACAGGACCTCATGAAGCCAAGTAGAGGCGGCCGGATGCGGACAGCTTCCAATTTTATCTCAAGCCGTCTATGTGACAACTTGTCAATCGCTTTGCTAAGATCAAAGTATATAACTACCATTGACGGCCGCTCATTACGAAGAGAACTGATTAGATTAAGAAATGCCAAGTGGCAAGTTTCGCAGCATCGTTCAGGTAAAAATCCATGCCGACTAGAGCTCAGAAGCATATAAGCTAGACAGAAGTCAATAATTTCACTGAGAATTATCCTTTGGAGAAGCTTTGCTAGAGGCGGTGTTTCGCGCACGCCAGATAATTATTAACATTGGACCGGGATCCAGACTTGAAGACAGGAACGATAATTGACGTCTTACATGTTTCAGAGAAAAATCCTTTTTAAATGTAAATCGAGAATAAATGACACAGAAATATGGGAAGGTCGGGTGCTTGTTTAATAATCGAATTTGGAATCCCGTCCGTTCCTCAGCAATGTGAGTTTTTCAAATGACTTATGTGTTTCATAATGAGATCTGCGGAGACATCGATTGTACTCAGTGACCTATCTGAAAATGAACGAAAGAAAGAGACTGGTTCGGACTCAGTAGTAAGGAACAAGGAAATGCGCGGAATAAGACTTTAGATATCTGCGCGGCACAAGCTCTAGGATGTTCTCAGAAACATTGGACATGACGTCACGTAGAATGGTTGAATCGCCGCAGAAAAGAAAACCACACAGATTCAAGAATCTAATATAGTTATTTATTAAGTCCTTATCCACGCAATCGTACTTTAGGTAACTGCAGACTGTGCTGGTCCTTTTTGAAAGGGCAAGTGTTCAACATCAACGAGTCAATGCGTGATCACTACCAACGAGGTTCTTTTTGAAAGCAATAAAAAGAGTGTAATATCATTGGTAAAGATCCGATCTTAGGTGCGATTATCTTTTGGTGGAGAGCGCACCATTTGGGACCAGTTAGAAAAATTGACAATATCATGGAAGGGCTGGAATCTAGATGGACAGATATTGGAAACCCAGTCTATTTCAAGAAGCTTATAATACCCATTGATTATATTAACATCGAAAGCAGCTTCTCAAATTAATTTGAAGACTTTACAGAGTTGTGAATCATCACTGGCTAAAGAATTTGGGGATTGTAGATACAGCTAATAATTGCCTTTCTTTGCGGCGAGAGAATAACAGATGCTATGCAGAAGTTTCCCGTGAATGAGGAAGCATCCAAGTAATAGAGAGAGTGCTTTAGGTAGGATCTAAAATAAAGAAGACAACCACCCCCACGCCTAGTCGTGCGGTCTTGACGGTAAAAATCGAAGTCATCTATGAGAACGGCAGAGTCAGGAATTAGAGAATGGGTCCAATATTCTGTTATACAAATAATACCAGGCGTCATTTCGGGAGCAGTGACTCTGACTTGGGCCCTCTTGTTTATAACAGACCTGGCATTCAATAATATAATATCTCATGTGTTTCAAACAGCAAAGCTATTTTCGACGATATTTAGAATAACATCTGAAGGCGGATATGCAAGCTGTGAATCAATGATGTTTGGAAAATAAGTACCAGTTAATCTAGAGTTATTGATTTACGTGGAGTCAGCAAGAGAAGGCTGAGCAGGAAGCCTAAAAGGATGTGGGAATATAGTTTTCGAGCATTGGAATGCTAGATGAGTCAGAACAGTGATAGGCTTGCTTGAAGTTAAATTGTGGAGGAGAAGGAGGAGGAGGAGGAGGAGGAGGAGGAGGAGGAGGAGAAGGAGAAGGAGAAGGAGGCGGGAGTCTAGAAGGAAGGTAGAGGCTGGTGGGGGAGGGAAGACAGCTATAAGAATAAAAGGGTGGAAAACCAGATCTAGGTTGGAAGTCAAAGGAATTAGGTTGACTTACTTGAGAGCAATTGGCCTGAAGTGGTGGGAAGCCTGAACTAAGTTGGGACATAAATGACTTAGAGCAATTAACGTATGAATTATTTGCTGGATAAGTAACCAGTATGCAGGACAGAAAATTAGTTGGGGGTTTAATTGAAGCTGTGGGGTTTGTAGACAGGTTAGGCTGTAAAAGTCTGGTAGATCTAGGAGAAGGCGGTGTACCCCTAAATGGAACTGTACTACTTTTCTTTTGGGTCTGAGTCTGATTCAGTTTTGGAGTCTCACCGTTCTGACGACACTTCGCAGGTGAGTTCACTGTAGAGCTCGCAGGACCCTGTTGAACTGGGGAAGCTATCAGTCTAGCTGATATAGGCGGGTTTTCATGAGTCCTAGGGGGATATCTGGGGGATTAGAACGACAATTGGAGATGCTGCTGCCAATTTAGGGGCAGGAGAATGCGTCAAGTGGTCCGAGTGGGAGGGCAATGTAGGAGTTAAGGAGAGGAGGGTGCCAGATGTCGTAGGAGTAGAATTAGCTGAATCCTTACGGTCACTTGTATTATGACCAAGTTGGTGAGCATTAGACTGAGAAGCAGTGGGTTTAGTTGAGAAGAGAGACTCGATTCTACGCTCCATGGGAATATGGTCATGAAAAAGGTAAAATTTTGCATTTTCCAGATACGCTGACACACAGTCTCGAGGGGCGAAGATTTGGTCGACTTCGATAGGTAGAAACAACTTCACTTAGACAGACGGATCTTTGCTACGGGAGGACAAGCGTTTAGCATCGGCTATTTTGTAGTTGAAACCACACGAATGCATGACATGAGTCTCAACATCAATTGGCCGAGCAGATCGAGGGGCATTTTTCAGTGAGAAGTTGTAAGTACGCTTCTGTCTATCATAGATTCACTGGTGATCAGGTAAAGAAGTGATTAAAGACGTTTACATTCTCGAAAGGAAGTGACGGAGATGTTCGCTTCAAATGATTTTCCCGGAACTGAGAACATAGTGCTAAACTTTAGTATAAATCATTGCGTTTGTAAATTGCTGACAGATGAATTTGCCGACAAGTTATAACGAGTGACAACTGACTAGTAATATCTTCTGACTTAGACTTAGCAGAGCCATGCTTACATACAGAGGCCGAGAGCTTTCGCCGACCTGTGACTTTTACTCTCATCTTGTCTCGATGTAATTTGCAATTAAGTAAACTTTTGACAGACCAGGTGAATGAATTTCAGATAGCAGCTAACGTTGTAGAAAAATTACTCAGTTAGAGAGAAATCGAATGCACAAAGTGTGAATACCAGAGTGCGACTAGTGATTAACAGGCTCAGACTAGCAGAATTCAAAAAAATGGCAACTGGTAGTTCTGAGTGAGTAGGCCTGTATTTAAGGAAATTTAACCAAAAAACCGTGGCTAAAATCGTTAGGGCTCTCAGAAAAAAACCCTTAAAATAATATCTTCCACTTATCTTCAAATTAAAAAACAGCGGCTTCGCCTTGACCTCTTCATGAGATTCTTTTTTTCCGACATTGACCAAGTGGGACGGAAAAAGAATGGCTTCTTCCTAAACGGGCTATAACTCCCTATCAAGTTCTGATTTGATTTCTTGAAGAACAGCCACTTACTTTAGTTCTTTTATTTTGGAAACATCTCCTTTCCCTACGTGCCGTTCATCGACTGCAAAAATTCCACATAAGAAAAAAAATGCAGTCTTAAAATGGAAAATGTTAACTATTTCGTCAAAGTGACGTGGGTGACGGGGGTGTAAGGGTGTCAGCGGTGGGTTCACGTAATGGTCGTGGTGGTCGCTCACTTGCTTGCAGGTGAGACTGCGCCTAGCGTCCACTTGCTGGCACTCAACTCTCACCTGTGGCTCCACGTAGTTGGACTCTGCTCAGCGGCCACACCCCGGGCAACCGTCTCGACCGGCGGGCTAAACCAGGTGAGGGGGCCCTGTGCGCTGTGCCGTGTGCACAGGGTTTGCGGATTCCGCTGGATGGAAGGTAGGATGGAACCTTGCGTGGACA